CCCCCCGCCTCGCTCGCGTTGGCAAGGCCGCCCTTCCCGGGGGGGGGGCCCGCTCACTCCCAGGGCGGCCAGGAGGCTGAAGGGATTCGACAGGCAGCGCCTGCCCCCTGGATCGATCGATCGATTAATCGATCGATTTACATGTATAAATCATTCAATTTTGATTTCCCAATCCGAGGCGGCTCCGTAGCCGGGACGTGTAACGAGCGCCAGCAGGCGTTAAAAAAAACGCGTTACAAATCCAAGCGGAGAAGCCTTCCCTTTCCGAGAGCAGCGTTCCACGCCGTCGCCATAGCAACCGCCGGAAGCGCCGCCGCCGGAAGCCGGAAGCGCCTCCTCCGCCCGCTTGTCCTTCCGCCGGCTCCGCTCGGGCCGCGCTTCCCGGGTTCCGCGTCGGCGGTTCCGTCCTTGGGGGCCTCCCCACTCCCCCCGAGGAGGAGGAGGAAGAGGAAGGAAGGGAGCAAGGCTGGGCCGTCGTTCCTGGGGTCCTGACGCGGGGTGTGTGTGTGTGGGGGGGAAGGAAGCACGTGTGAATCCGTGCCGGGCTGCGACGCGTGTCAAGAGCGAGACCGCCTGGCGGCTGGTGTGAAAAGGAGCTGCCTCTGTAACATACGGGCTTGTATTGTTTTGTTTTAAGACCTTTCCGTCCCTCCTTCCTCCCCCGAAAGGACCCGAGACGGCTTCCATCATCATCATCATCATCAGCCTTAGCCTTTCAAACGCTCACCTCCGGCGGCTTCCTTCCATCAGGAGCAGCAGCAGCAGCAGCAGCAGCAGCCTTAGCCTTTCAAACGCTCACCTCCGTAAGTTGACAAAGAGGAGGGTAAGGAGAAAAGAAAAAGAGAATTAAACGCGTGTTCTATTCCCGAGGTCAACAAAAGGAAGGCGAAAGACGAGAGAGCGGAGCCCCCCCCCCCCGGACAGCCCCTCTCCGACCACCAGGCAGTACACGCCGCCACCCACGCACGTGGGAGAGAGCGCCCACACACGCGTGTCAGGCCTCTTCCCTGGTGGGGAGGGTGTTGGGGCCCCTTCGCGGGTCTCTTTTTCTTCCCCCTCCCCTGGAAGGGTTTCTTTGGGTCTCCCTCTTTGGGAGAGAACGAGGTGGGAAGGTTTGAGGTTTTTGTTTTTTGGGGGGGTCACTAAAAAAAGTCACATTAAAATTGAGCCTTTGAGTTTGTATCGTCCAGCCTGTTATTTTATTTCCCTACCTAGGATCATCCTTTTCAAAACTTCGTTTTTTTCCTTCTTCTTTGCATTTGGTGAGAAACTTTGCATTCTTCCTGATTTTGGAAATCCGGGTTCTAAAAACTGTATCCATGCTTTTGACAGCTTCCGCTCTGGGCGGTTATTAGTTATTCGTTTCTTTGTTTATGTCGTCAATTTGTATCCTAGGTACTACTCTGGGCGGTTAGAAAAATATATAGAACAAATTTAATTTATACAAATAAAAGCACTAGGAACAATTGTAAATAACAATACGATACAGATGGCACAAAACAACATATGGGAACCAAAGTGGACGGAAGGAAAAAAAGGATCAGGTTTCCTTGGTTTTTAGTCTGTTGTAGCTTTAAACCTTTTTCGTAATTTTTAAGGGTATACTTGTAACTCTGTTTGTATGTACTGTAATAGGGTTTTATAAGTATTTTGTCAGCCACCCAGAGGGCTTCAGGTACTAGGGGATGTAAACATATAATAAATAAGCCAGGCTAGGAAAAGTTGTCGGGAGCATGCCTAACGAGTGGTTTTAGTTGCCCATTCTCATTTATTTGTTTATTAAATATATTTGTGTATCTTTTAGTTGCCGAAACTTCTTCAAAAGGAGAGATGGGTTCTGAGAAATAGCTTACCAGCTGCCTCATCACTGTTTGCACCTTGCTCTCAAGTGTGTGCTTGTAAATGTATAGTAATCCTTCCCTTGTTCCCAAAATTGAAATCAACATGCTTTTCTAGAAAAGTATGGCACTCTCTGACTTTGGTTAGAGGTAACTGGCTCCCCATTTCTCTCCTATGTAAACTCAAGAAGAAGAAAAAGATGATGATTCAAAAACACCAGGCACAGTCAGTCGCATTTATAAAAACATTGACTGGTATTATATAACAGATAGGAGTTTTAACCAAAAACCCAAGTATCTGTTAAATATTGGTGCAGTATGTGTGCTGTTCCTAATAGTGCCTTTTTTTGTAGCTCTGATGGTGTGATTTCTGAGATCTGCAACTGCTTATAGTACTGTGTACTTCTTGATATTGTTCCCAAAGCCCCAATGATTATGGGGGCCACTGAAGTGTGTTTCATCCACAAGCTAGATGTTTTGATTGCCAGGTCTATGTATTTTGTTAGTTTTTCCAATTCTTTATTTTCAGCTCTGGCATCCCCTGGAACTGCAATGTCAATGATCCAGACATTTCTCCGTTCTATTAGTACTATGTCTGGTGTGTTATGTTCAAGGTGGTTGCTGCTGCTGTTGTAATAAGGCAAGTTCTTGATGTAGTGAGAATTTATCTTTGTAAAAGCAGTGATTCCTAAACTTGTGTCCTGAGATATTGTTGGACTACAAGTCTCAGAATCCCTGATCAGGGACTGTTCTGGATGGGAATCCCCAGAGGTGTTGTACGACATTTGGGGAGCCTCTGGTCTGGAAATCAGTAATGTGAAGACTTCACAGAGGAGAAATATATCTCTGTTGGTCATTTATATTGTCATTTGGTTTTTTGATTTTTTTCTGAGTCTGCAAGCAGTAGTTTTACGTGCTGTTTCTGAGAGAAGAGTTTCCTGTTGTAGTGAATGTTATGTGCCGTTTGCCACTTACAGGGTGTTGATGACTGACAGGAAAGGATGTCTCGTGTCCCTCTGGGGAAGGTCCTTCTGCGAAATGTCATCCGTCACACTGATGCACACAACAAGGTAGGGAGTAGCACCGGGACAAGGGGCTGGGATCTGATGTGGACTTTCTTTCAGAGATGTTGTTTTGAAGGGTGTCTCCTTCAACGTCTGTCTTTATGTGCCTCAGATTCAAGAAGAGACAGAAATGTGGAAGATACGGGAGATGGAAAAACAGAGCCAAGATGTGCCGTGGGGCAAGAAAAAGTTTCCTAACAGTTCCTGGTGAGACTCCCGGAAATTAGGAGTTGGCAACAGTTGTCATTAAGAGGGTCAAAAATCATGTTTCCTGAAGCTTATGTCATGGGACATTTGGGGGGGGGGAGGGGGGGGGGGGCACCTTCCCCCTGCCATGTAGCTGTATTTCAGAGAAAGCTTTCCTGGTCGACCAGCGGCCTTTGTTCCTCCTGGCAAACCTATTCCCAGCTGCGTGTTTTTAAGGCAGCAAGGCCAGGGTAAAAAGGGGATTCATCCTTGTGCCCCTCTGCTAAGGCGCACGCTTGGTGTGGAAGTGGGCCCTGCCCTCGGCCACCTCCAGAAAGCCTTTCCTTTAGAAATAGATGGCTTTCGTTGTCTCTACAGCAGCCGGATGCGCAGCGATGGGTTTGACGAGGAGGCTGCCTGGAAGGGAAGGGACTTGGCTTCTGTGTCTGTGGAGACGGAAGACGACCTTCGGCATGTCCGATACTGGAACAAGAAGCTCTACGAATACGAATCTAACATGCCCGACAGGTCTTAAAAGTGTCCTTGTTTATGTGTTTGTTAATTTAGTTGCAGACCATCCTAAGCAAACACGATGCTTTATTTCGGGGTGGGGTGGAGACAGAGGGACGAAGATTGAGATGGCCGAAAGAGGAGGTTACCATCTACATTTTGAGTTGGGGATGGTGGGACAGGATAGGAAGGGAAGAACACAAGCAATTATCCATCCATAAGAATACAGGAAAGTACAATTTGACTGAGTCTGGCCATTGGTACCATTTGGTCTGTCTTCATTGGCTGCCAGCAGCTCACCAGAGTTTCATGCAGGAGTCTTCCAAGCTGTTCTCGGTGATTGAATGTGGGGTTTTCTGCGTACAAAACGTCACATGAGTTTATAGCTCTCCAGATCAGGGCATGGAAAGTTGATTCAGATCAATGCAATCCATTAGTTTATCTGGCCAGCAGTTCTCCAGAGTTCTAGACAAGAGTCTGCTCCAGTTTAAGCTGGGCATGTTGGGAACAGAACTCACAGCTTTCTACAGTTCTTTTGCTACAACTCTTTTCTGGGGCTGTGGATCAGTTTGAATGGACTGAAGTTGGAAACATATGTAATATTTTGTAGATCACATTACCAGTTAATCTGTTTCATCCCTGGAGCAATATAACAAAGGTTGCATCATTATTTTGCTGATTATAGTTGGCCGTATACTTCTTTGTTTATAACCATTTCAGAGAGGGCTTTTTTTTTCAATTGCAGATGGGGCCATAGTGGCTACAGAGAGTTGTATCCAGAAGAATTTGATACAGACAGGTAACACAAATAGGCTTATTTAATTAAAATATGACTAGCAGTGTTAATCTGTGCATCAACAGGGTTGAGAATATTCTCCACTCTTCCTCCTTGGCTGCAGCCAAAATCATTTGTAAAAAAAATTCAAGCTGTTTTTGAATCTAGGCAGAGTTCTGCCATTATATTTGGATTCAGATAAATTGTGGTTAGTTTAAACTACTTTGTTTGAAGAAGCCTGGATCAAACTGTGGTTTATCATCTTGGCTTGTTTACTGATCAGAATTCCAAGAGTTTTGATGCAACAAGGAACTCTGGCTAGCTTACAAATGGAAGATGTTTCTAGCCAGCAGCATCTGGAGAACTACCGTATTTTTCGCTCCATAAGACGCACCAATTTTTTAGGAGAAGAAAACAGGAAAATATAATCTGTTTTCTTCGCTCCATAAGACGCACAGACTTTCCACCCCCCCCTGTTTTGTGGGGGAAAAGTGTGTCTTATGGTGCAAAAAATACGGTATATGCTTCTCTGTGCTATTTTTATTTGGAACATAGTTGTTTTTCTTGAATAATATTCCCAAAGCTTTCATCACCTTGTGTTTTCCAGTGACCGAGAGAGAGATGAGCAACACTCTGTGAATGGAAAAAGAAAATCTCAGCCCGATAAGTCATCCTCTCTTGAGTTGCGCAAAAGGAAAAAAGCCAAAAAGTCTCACAAGAAAAAGCAGAAAAAGAAATCGCACAAGAAGCGGAAGAAGAAGAAACGGGAACAGCCGAGCGCCACAGCAGAATCTTCTCAGGCAGAGTCAGAGTCGTCAGAAGTGAACACAGGCAAAAAGACGCGGAAGCGCCATCGAAAAGCCGTAAAGGCCTCGGCCAGGGCACCAGCCTCTTCCTCGCGAGAAGAGAGTGACTCTAGCCAGGCTGACAGCTGCGCCTCCAGCAGCTCTGGCGACAGTGAACTGGAGGAGAAGGCAGAGAAGCAGCCCAAGAAAAAAAGGAGGAAACGCCGTTCTCCTGCATCAGAACGGGGAGGCGAAAAAGTGCTGGAGAAGCGCAGCAAGCGGAAGAACTGGAAAGTAGCAGCCGACGAGAACTCAGAGGACAGTTCTGACGAGGACTAGCATACAGGAGGGCGCTTTGGTCTGTGTTTGTCCAGGGATTTCATTTTCCGAGGGGACCAAGCATTGCCTTTGAATGCTTTCCCTTGGAACAAATAGAGGAGTCCACACTGACTGTGCAACATTTTGGAACTGAGACTCGCAGATCTTTCTGACTTCCAAGGGAGGCCTTTCTGTTTCCCCCTGGTTGGAACCTGCGCAGGAACAGAGAACCTTTTAGGCAGGGCTTCTGTTTCCCCAATCCAGATTTCTGGCCAGATAGGACCACAGGGACCCTTCATTTAGAAAATTCTACTTGCGGTGCAAAGGGAAATCAAACCACGATTTGGTCCCTTTTGCTTTTTTTAAAAACCCAAATTTATTTTTAAGAGCCAGTGGAAAGCAAAAACCACTAACTGCAATAAACCACAAAGCCCAGAGCTTGGGAGCTCCTCGCTCGAGGTTCTACCAATTGATGCTTGTCTTCTGCCTTTCTCCCTTCAGCAGTTAAGCACCTGCATGTAGGCCAGGCACAACCAAAGGTGTAGATCAAGCAGGGAAGCACAGCCACCTTTCGTTCGACAGACCTGGTGCTGTGTGTGAATATTTGAATGAACATCACCATGAGCCGTCTCTGCTCACCAGTTTCTGGACAGATAGAGGTTTTAGCTGAGGAGGCATCTAATGCTGCCTATTACATATATTTTTTTCTATAGAAATGAGGGGCATCTTTGTTACACACTGATGTTTGCCCTTGTTGTATTAGTAAACTGTGGCTGCAAGAAATTCCACCACCCAGAGAATTGGAGGCAGTTGAGTGAGAAAGCAGAGAAATGTTTATACAATTCAAAGAGATCCGGGATGCCTTCCCCTGAATTATGGAATTCAACCCATCTGTGGGGTAGCCGGGAGTGGCTGGAAGTGTTTACTTTGGACTACAGATCCCCAAGTCCATGCTGTGATCTGAAAACTCAATGTTGCTATGTCCTGGTGACCTGTTAAAGAAAGGACTTGCTGGAACACATGCTTCACAGGAGTCTATTTCTGCCCTATTTCTTCTTTAACTCCCCAAGACTGGTGGATGACCGTTTCCAAGGTGGGTCGAGGCCCCTCCAGGATTGGGTTCTTTGCATCCTCACTAAGTCACAGTTCCCAGAATGCCTCAGGGGAAGCCATAATAAGCAAACATGGATAGCAACCGCTAGGTTTGTAGCATAAATAGTTATATTCCTCCTTCAGAAAGGAGGCTGGCATTATACTCAAGGCACTAACTCAGGATAACGGACTGGTTCAAGATACCCCTCCTCCCAGGGATGGGACCCAGAGAGGCCCCATAGCTCAGTAGTTTTCTGCAGGACCTGGGCATCTATCAGTCATTTCTATGTCCCGTTTCTTTTCTGGCTTGTCTCCCTTTGCATATACAATTGTTACATGTTGGAATAGCCATATTCCAAAACAGAGAAGGCCATGTTTTCTATTCTATGTTGATGTACCAGCAGATAAACCTTATTTTTAAAAATAATTGTGTATTGCTACAAAAAGCAAAGCAACTGAAGCAGTTTCTACAAAACCGGGACTATTTTTTATATGTGCAGAACGTTGGCATGAATACGTTCAGAGAATCTTTAAGAATAAATCGCTAACATGAGCCCTCAAAAGTAGAAAGTGGTTCTAGAAAAATATCTGGCTTTTTACACCCATTTTAACACCATGGATTGAGAAATGGAGAAGAGAGGCCTATACAGGCTTATATTGCAACAGATCAGCTATTGCTTAAAGGTAATACAGACTTCAGTCTTTGGACCATGTTAGGTATTCTTACCCTAACACGAGTTTTGCATTCCTGCTGGTGTTTTCTACCACAGCTAGAGAAAACACATGCCTGAAAAAAGTTGTGTATTGTCATTGGTCCTACAGTGGTGCCTCGCTTAACGATTTTAATTGGTTCCAAAAAAAACATTGCTATATGAAAACATTGTTAAGCGAAACACTGTTTTCCATAGAGATGCATTGAAAACCGGATAATCCGTTCCAAATGGAACGGATTACCATCCTTAAGCGAAAATCCCCATAGGAAAAAATGTTAAGCGAAACCCATTGAAATGCATTGAAGCCTATTTCAATGGGGGAAAAAATTCACAAAAAATTCAAAAAGACTCAGAACAAAGCCAAATTAAGTTAACGAAGGTTTTATTAGGTCCACTAATGATTCCAAGCATTTTAAACATTTTTAAA